AGTTCTCGAAAAGGTTTTGAAGCGTAAATCAACGTATCGCGCCCAAAGCACGCGAAAGGTAAACTACTGCCATTGCATTTTTAGATTTCAGGTAAACAGCAAGGCTCTACCAGGCACGTAAATAACAGAAGTTGTAAGGGGCATGACGCCCCCCCTCTAAGGTTGGAAAATCCAATTACAGTTGGAAAGCTTACCAGTTCAGTTGTGAATTTTATATTTTAGAAATTTTGGGATTTTGAATATAAAAACTTTCAACCTTATCAAAATTCACAGGCTGATTCATTATAAAATTAAGAATCTTTCAGTACTAGAAATTCTCAACCTTTCTTATAAAAAAACGAGTGTATGGTAAAGCTGCCGAGAAGTCAGAAAATATTGCAGAAGCTGCAGCAGAAGTGTTTGCTCAAGGAAGGGTGTTTCATCTTACAATTCGGGCATATGGACTTGCTCTCAAGTCCCCCATTTTAATTGTAAAAAGCGAAAGGACATTTGCCCTATGAAAATTATTTAAAATTTCCTTCGATCAAGGACAAAGATGAAAGGCTAAATTCCTTTATGGTTTTTCAGATTAAATTGATCTGCAGCGAATAGCTTTTAAATGGGCAAAGCAGAAAAAGAAAAGAATCGCTGTTAATTGACTTGAAAGAACCCTACAATTTATCTTTAAATAGAGCCGCAATTTTTGGTTATGCTTAGATGTTGTTTTATAACTTACAACAAGTTTAAGTGTTCGTGTTACGTTGATCGTTAATCTTGTAACACTGACGGCAGTTTGCAAAGTCAAATACAGCCATTCCCTTTTCCCCAACGGAATACTGTTGGTTCACTTTAAAACGGGTTAGGGAATTAGGAGTTTGCCTTTCCTTAATTATATTTGTCTAAACCCTCAACGTTGCTCTTGGGGGAGGAGGCGGAAGTAGTATTTTTTTCAGAAAAGGAATGAAAGGTATATAATGCAACCCAAAATTTCTGGGTGTTCAAAGTACTTTTGGCAATGATTGTAGATTTTTCAAAGTTTTCGACAAATATAAGATATCGACTAAGTTTCTTCTCCATGGTCATTCAAATTTTTTGTTTGTTTTTGTTTCCAGGATAAAGGAAGACGGGTGACATACCCTCCTCCACAACTCAGTTCCAAAGGTGATACATTTTCGTATCAGCGATTCAAATGGCGAATGGATGTAAGTGTAAAATTATTCTATCTTGTCACCACTTCAACGTGTCTCTGTGTCTCAATTCCTTTATCTCTCCCAATGTTTCTATTTAGGTTTTCCCTTCTTTCTTGTTGGTTCATGTGTAAAAGTTGTCTTTTCGAAAATTTCCAATTTCATCTCCCTAGCAATGGAAGCTTTTATGCAGAGAAGTCAGCGAAGGCAAATGGAAGAAATGCGATACAAAAAATGGCATCAGTATCGCAAGGCAGTCGTTTAGGGATAGCGATTTGGCAGTTATTAAGGTATTTTGTTTTTTGAAAGCTTTAAACTTTGTATAAATAAGCATTAGGACACTTAAGAATCGCAGCAGCATTTTCAAAGCTTTTCGCTACCAATTTTTTTTATGATCTTAGGACGTTCCTTCTCAATATTCCCAGTGTTTCATATATAAAGCAAATTTTATTGCCTTCAGTTTTTAAAGATTGCTCACTTTGTTTGCAAACTTGGGTCCCTTGAATTTCACCCGCCATACAGTGGCGTAAGATTTCGCTCAAGTCCACCTTGTTTTTAGAAGCTTCGAATGTTCTTCATGTGAAGCTTATAACTCAGCTCCCCAGTTAAGAAGAAAAATTATCAGTTTTGAATCTTGCTATTGTCAAGATAACATCTTGCTGATGTGTTTTCCATGAGCTGCACCAATGGATGGGACCTTCTTACAGTCCCTAAATGTGGCCCCCCTCTCAGTTTATTCCCAAGGACCCCAGATGCCTGCGTTACCTCATTATATCTCGTGTTACTTAAAGAGGGCAAGTCTTTGATATTTAATTGGAGGCACACATTTTATACTGGAAACGTAGGATTTAAATATTTAATTCATGAATTTATTCAAGTTCCATGTTTTTATAAAGCGTAACCAAATGTACAGACCAATGTAAGTTACACTCCGATTGTCTTCATTATTATAACACTCACGGATCTCATGTTTTGAAACTGGTATCTCCATATGGGTTATGTCATGCAGGAGCACAAATTATGAGCGTTTAGGGGTGAACACCTCCTTGCAATGATGCTGAAAATGTCGGCCAAAATTTTAATTATAGCGATGGAGTGTTTGCTCTCTTCATTGCGGAGAATATTAGAATTTTTTTCCTTGGAAGATTTGGTTCGAGGCTCCTCAAGTTTGCCCTCGTTAAGAAAGCTTACTCGAGGCTAATTTTTCGAGATGATAGTGAAGGATACCTTTCCTTGCAGATTGCAGCTAACTAATTGCTGCTTGTCACTTAGGGAAAGTACGATGACATTGTTTGTTACGGTCTGTCACTCCTTCCATGAAACGAGGTTAAACACGCTAAACTTGTTCGCACGTAAAAAACAGCAAAGGTGTTGGGGAAAATTTCCCCTTTCTTCTTTTCGTTAATCAGCGAAAACCTTCGTCGTTCTGAGGGCTAGGCTGTAGATCAAAAAATCAAATTTGATGCGTAATTCGAGCACACGCCCCTCTTAACCACCCAGTCATAGGAAATTAACTGTCAAATACGTTACCAAAAATTTGACTGCTGGTGGAAAGAACAAATTAATACGTTGAATCTTGTGAAATCTCATTTTGCATTTGAACCTTCTTCAGCTTGCATTGCGACTATAATTCTAAAACCGGCCTGTTATCGTACTGCATGAAATTACAAAGCACAGCCAATTTCTCCTTGCGTAAAAAGACAACTCCGGCTTAGCATGGCGGTTGCTGCGCAAGAGCCTTTTAAGGGTGATTCATGTCTCTGCCTGTCATGTGACTAGTTCTCAGTTCACCTCACTTTAGACCGTTGATTATAAAATAATAAATCAATTTTGCAATAATTTACCATCTTTTTCAGATTGAAAGTGTTTTTAATGCACCAAAACAGCTTATTTATGAATATCTTCAAAGAGCGCTACGACCCGGGGGCAAGGTATGAAAACTTTCATAATAGTTTATTTAACTGTATTTATTTAACTGTTAGCCCAAAGTGAATTTTATCTTGACCTTCGCCCCCCCTACACATTTTGTTTTGCAGAATCAAAGGCATATTAATTGATATTTTGTCAACCGCCTCTACGAACCTCTCGTCGCTAACATGGCCTAATCTAGAGTAGAAAAAAGATATACAATATGCGAAAGCAATACAGTAGATATCCAAAATAATCATTAAATATATACAAGCCACGGCTCATTCGCCTTATAAAGGCCTACTCTTTCTAATGATAACAATCTTGACAACAGTGTTTGTGCTAGTGAGAAAAAGATACGAGAGGAAGGGCAATCGGGGGGTTTTAGTTAGACCATCTTATCTCCTTATTACTTTGCAATGCCGAATCTTGTGTTTTGTCTTTGTGAGTGTTTATTATTCTACCATGATGTTCACAAACATGACATTCCCATTCTGTAGGATTTCAAAGATCAATTTTTCTTTATAGAGCTAATAAACAAATACGGTAGTCATAGCCTTTCCATATATCCTAAAATTATTCGCAGTGACCTTTGCCTTCTCAAAGCTAATAAGCATCAAAGCAAACTAAACAACTCTTCTTTACATTCCTTCTTCTTTGTTTCCCATAAAACGGATATTTTTCAACTCCTTCCATGAAACGTTCTTTGATTCCGTTGAAAACGCGACGCAAGTGCCCAAACCCCTACCATCATTCTCAAATAAGCCCTCGTCCTGATATGCTGATTAGCCCCTAGTCGAATAACCAGACAGAAAAGAAAGTGCATGGTTACAGTACACATTGGAAAGATGAGTCTAGATTCCTATTGTATTCCTATTTGTCTAAACCAACGAGAAAGCGTTCTATATGCACGTGTACATTTGACGAAGGCTTTTCTTGGCGCTTCGAGATTCAGCCAAAGCCATGTTTATGATATTAACCAGAGTTTCATTCTTGCCCTTCTCATGATACTCTGTGGCTTATTTCCACAAGACCTACCAATGTTTTTACCACAGAATATATGATGCGGTATGAAAATAGCATCGTCGATTTCAATTATGTTGGTGCAGATGATACAAAAGTTTGACAGCCACAAACCTTCGAAAAAGCGCTGGTTCTTTTCCCCCAACAACTACGTGGTAAAACAAGACACAGAGTAGATAGTCATTCTTGATAGCGGTGATTAAAAAAATTTCGTTAAAGATTATGTGTCCATATAAAAGGACTGCGTATACCCAACTTGTCAAGCCACCCATCAAAATAACAATTTGCGATTGGTTAGTGTTTTTGCAATGCAAAACTGCTCACATGAAAAGCTGACCTCGCAGAAGGATAAATAAACAGAACGACCGTAATGACTGGGGGCGATGACATGAAAAATCACGTGTTTCTAAAAACCCAAGCAGAGTCGCTTGCTAAGCTGGACACATTACCTTTAAAGTTTATAGCCAACCACTCAGCTTGCCCGCCGCCCATCCGCGCGGTCACTAAAGTACCGCGGGAGCAATCATCAATTGGCCAGGAGTTCCTCGAGAGGATCTCCTGGGCCACGCTTCTTGCTCAGGGAGGCGGGCTATGCCTCCTCATCGTGGTTAGAGATGTTGTCTTTGTTGATGGACAAAGACGGGACGCGTACTATAGAAATGATCCTAGTAAGTACGGTCTTGGCTATAGGTGGTCATGAGAAAAGAGGAGTTCACAGCACCTGTTGCTTTGAATAAGGGATTCTGTCTTCGCGCATGCGCCGTAAAAAATCTATCAGCAGGAAAGCAAACAAGATTTATTTGTAAACGCAGGTCAAAGTCTAACGGCTTCTGCAAATGTGGACCAGGGGCTTGTGCCCCCACATTGATATTCTAGAACAAATACCCTGGGGTACTTGCTCCATCCTCGAACCGACCTCAAATGGATGGACTGCCGAGTTGGCTAGCTTGTAGAAAGTGGCGATATTCAGATTCATGCCACACGCTTTGACCACACAGCCACACCTCCATAAATACTTATAAAGTTAAAAGCTGTATCTACAACATGCTCAGAGAATCAGCATTTGATTTCAGACTTCTCTAATAAATAATAATCAGTACTCTGACGGAGGTATGCCTACCCGTGTGTAGCAAAATTCAAACCATGAAATTTAATACTTAGGTAGAATTCCTTATTTCAGTGCAAACCATACACCTAATTTCCAACGAAATTTCCATTCAATGCAAACATTTTCGGAATGTGTCGATACTATCTTATTCTAGCGTTTGAACCAATCTATTCACTCATTTAAACTGTTTCATTTTTGAACAAGTTCAATTAAATCTTGAGCTTTTTCACTCAAACCTCGTCCCAACCCCCGCACATCCTGTCTGTTTCTCTGCAAATATGGTGGGCCTAAACCGTTCAGTAAAGATGTTTATGGGTTTTTCTAAGCTATAGAAGGAAGGGGCAAATGGCCTGACAAGCGAAATTTTAAGCAGCTCTTTGAGGTGATACTTTATCTTTTGGTTTGGAAAGCTCATTATGCGTTTATATATTTCAAGCCTAGGCCGAAATGAGAGAGTTAGTTTGGAACCAAAGTCATAGACTGACTCCGTGAGTCGCAAATTTTGCTATTAAATTGAATTTCCATTTGGCGTAATATTTACGCTGTCATGGATTGGCATGGCTACTACAGAAAGTAAAACATTGGCGTGATTCTTAGTGCTTCATAAATGTTGGTGTTAATGTGTGGCGGACAAAATTTGCGAATTCCACCTTGGCTTGCTCGTAATAACGAAAGGTTACATTATAACTTAGTTATGAAAAGCTGAAGTTATATCCAAATTTTTTCAAAATATCACTGCCAAGCATTCAAGGGTTTTATGCCCACTTACATTGAGAATGTTTGGGTGCGTTTTAACGAAAAGTTTTTTCTTGTTTGCAGTTTGATTTCATATTCAGAGGCGAAACAGTATTGCAAAGGATCGAAGGTATTTTTCTAGTTTATAATTTCAAAGGCAAAAACTAGTATATTTTACAGCGTTCTAATTCTGCTACAGTTCTGCTAATTCTCATTTTGGTCATTCCTCTTTCTCTTAAGAATCTTTGACTTGTAGTTGCCATGCATTGCTTCGCTATCACAAAGCCCCCCGTCAGTGCTGGCTTAAAAATATTAGATTTGACTGATTTTTCTTCGAAATGAAAAAGTAACAACCTTTTCGGTTAGAACTTGTGGAATAATTATGACGATTAAATGTAATTTAATCAGAGTTAATTTCACGAGGGGCTTTTGACCTTTGACTAATTCGCTTGTTATTTTTGCTATTCGTTATGGTCTTCTGTGCCACGATTCCTCGCTTGTATCCGCTCTACTAGTTTATGTGCAATGCGAGGAGTCTTTCGGCCTCCTGAGGATTTGATTTGTAATACTAGGGTAAGATTCCCTTGGTTCGTTCGTGGCGTTTTCATTCCCTTGGTTAATCTAGGAGTATTTAGGAATTGAGCATAGCGTGGGTCTTACCTTGCTTGGCGAAAGATGTTTATTTTACCAGCCCGATGATGTGGGAACGTTGCCCTATGACTGACCTTCTGATGTCTATGGTATGGTTTTCTGAGGGAGCTTTTTGCCCTTCATTTTGTATTTGTATTTTATGAAGTCAATTCTGTAAGATAAGGTCGTCGGAAAAGACGGAAACATAGCATAGTTGGGTACTTTTCGTCTGCACTCCTCAAAATATCAACGCTGGATAATGACCATAATCCGGATAATGAAATATACATCCGAAAGTAAGGGTCGAAAGTACCGCGAGGTCTCGCGAGATTGAGAAAATGGCGCGTTTGATTTCTCGAGCTGTACGTGTGAGTTATATTGCGCTTATTGATTGGTTCCCCAGAACGGTGCGCTTGTTTGATTTGATCTAGATGTTATGAGTGAAGGAATATGAATTCTGGAAATTATCTTACAGAAAATCAGTTTGATAGAGAGGTTTTTGTGTGAAGAACGGTACAGTTTTGTAAAGAACCCTACAGTTAATCGTTGAAGTTTTTTCATGTTGAATTTCTTCGCAGTTCATGGCAATTTGTAGTATGCAGTAAACACACTTTTAGACAACAGGCCAATCAAAAAGCTTAGTAGCTCTCTCACGTTTATTGATTGGTCAGCAGTTGATTGACAGGTGGCTTAAGCCATTTGAGTATCTGTTTCCATTTGAATGCCTTTAAGTTCTTGGTTTCACTTGATCGCCATGGATGATGCGTGTATGAAGTCTAGTTTTTTACAGTTGTTTCAGGCCATGCTGGGAATAAAATGGCAGGGGTGCGATGAATTGCACTCCTTGTGGTGCCTTGTGGTGCCTTGTGGTGCCAAAATACTTAATAGTACATTCAGCTGTATATAAACGAGACTACATAACTTTATCATAAGAAAACATAAGACAAGGCTTGTCCAATCAATGCATTTTTATTAAACAAGATTTACTAACGTCAAATCCAACATATTAATGAAAAAAACATTATTAATAAGGTAGGTTAATTTATATGTAATACTGCAGTTTATAAACCCTTCTCATCTTCTTCTCCTGACAATCTTGTTTTTAAAATTTCAGAATTTTGACTGTACACCAAATAGAAAACTAATCTGTTGACCAATGTTAGAACGAATTAAATTTGTAATTACACGTTTTTGATTTTAGCCATTCGATGAGCCATTCCATTGGTTCCTTAGGTACAAAATAGTTTTTTCGTACCTGTATATAGAGGAATTATGAGTCCTGAGAAAACAGGATTTTAATCCAATTTTAATTGTAAAATTCTTTATTTAAAGGAAGATTTAATGTAAAACATGTAATCAATTAAACAAAAGGCATCCGAAAACCTGTATTCAGTTCAATAAAATGTATTCAGTTCAATAAAATGTATTCAATTCAAAAAATTTATTCAGTACAGAAAAACATGTTCAGTGCAAAATAATCTTTCAATCCAAAACAAAATGTTCAACATTACTGGGGCGAACGCGTTCGTCATAAAACTTCAAATCACAATATCACACTATCAAAGATGGATGAAATTGAGGACTTGGAAGGTGTGTGCCAAGGCGTGGGCATGCAATCACACGCCATTCCCAGCATGGCCTGGTTGTTTTGTTATTGTTCGATGCAACCTGCACTGTGATTTCTACCACCAACAAAACAAATGAAAAATAAAGAAAACAAATGAAAAATAGAAAAGCACAGCGCAAAGTCTTAGGTGCTCCAAGTAGTTTTGGCAGTGATTGTACCCATTTTGAAAATATCTAAACACATTACATATTACCTTGAATGGTTTTTCAAAAAGTTTCTTATCAGGTTTGATTTCCTTTTCTTTATCTAGCAAAACATACCTAGCTTTAAATTTTTTTGGGCTCTGTTGTTTTCGTCAAGCCTGAAGCGGTAATTTGTATGGTATCCTTTGTAGTCATAAACCTCTCTCGAAGGATTCTTCTTACGTGGTGTATTGGTGTCATGAGACAGAGGCTTAGGCTGCATTGTGTGATTTCTGTTAGATGTTGCGTGCAGTTTAACGAGGCCTAAAGCACCAAACAACTGTGAAAGAGTTTTTGTTCATAAATTGAGTTCTGCTTGGATAGAAAAGGTAAGCAAGGGGAATCCACACTCAGGCCCCTGCTAACAAAAAATTGACTGGCTATTTCCACTCAACTCATTTTGTTGGCACTTCACATGGGTCAATACATTTTTTTTATAAGAACAATTTTATAAGAACACGAGCCTCAAAATGGGTCAAAATTTAAGAACAAATTAAGAACAAGCTGAGGCTGAGCTACTGTAAAATGAAATTTTGAACAACGTTTTATCTCAAAAACGAGGATTTTCAGCCATGTGTGGGTGCTTTTTCGGTGAATATTAAAACATGGCGGCAAATTAAGTTTGTCTCTACACACTTTGTTGGCAAAAGAGGCCTGAACACCTCCCCAGAACGAAAAGCTAGAAATCGCACTGCTTATACGCTATAAATTTAAGAACAAATTAGGAACAACCCAGCCTCAGATTTTCGGAAAAATTAAGAACAATCAGCCTGAAGTCAAATTTACTGGTTCTTATAAAAAAAAGAGTGTAATAGCTCTCATGCATTTGTTCTCATGTTATCTTATTCACCTTGTTTTTTAGAGTTTCAAACAATTACAGAAGTGGTACGAAACGACTATGATGTTCCTCTCCCAGGCATGAAAAAGAGAGACGTCTGCTTAGCAAAAATGTGGCTACCAGATTTTATCACTAGTGATGGCACTGCCGGTAACTGCAATTTTCTTTTACAGGACTTCTATTTGTAGACAGATGAGACGGGGGTATGGGGTATGCGTCTTGCAGCGTTACTAGCAAACCACAAGGACTCAGTACAATGCCCGGTAGAGAAAAATTACTGAGAGCAAATGTTCAACCAATTCTCTACCATTTAAATTATTAGGAACACTTTCTGCATATTTCGTGTCCTGCTTTTTTTGCATTTTTTGCATTTTTTGTTGCCATTTTGGAGACCTTTTTCATAAAAAAATCTTTATTTTTTAGCCTTCTACCTAGCGTGAAAATCATAACTGTTTTCAAATAGAAGTTTACAGATAGCCCTTTTTTCAGTTAGGCTTAAAAAGAAATTCACGAAGCTTAGAACCTGCAATAAAAAGTAACGTAACATATAATCACATTTATGGCGCACTTTAATCACTTTTAATTTATTCTTGAATTCAAGCAACTTTTAGCCTCAAGTGTTCTTATAAATGTGTCAAAGGAGGAATGTGGCGAAATATATTTAAATCTGTATATTTAAATCCCCTGACCCTGCTTAGTGTCTTAAAAAACATTTTGTTTTATAACCGTCTTCTTATCATTTTGCAAACCTGTTTTGAATGATCTTTTGAAAGATCAAATTTTGCTAAAAGGATATCAATTCACTGAGAGAAGAATATAGTGACAAGTCCGTGGCATTATTTTATCTGCAACCGCATTTTATCTATATTCGCCTAGACTGATAACCTGTCCATCTGTTAAACATCCTTTAGAATTATTGGCTGGCTATCAGGCAAGTATTCACAACACCTCTTCGTAGTTTCGTGTTTTTTCCACGTTCCAAATACTAACATCACAATCATGAAGTACGCATACTTGTCCTTACAAATTATGAAATTACATAAGGATGAGAGCTATTGTGAAGAATTGCATGTTATGTTCTTCATATATTTCAGCTACTTTCACGAGTTACACTGTAAATTTGTTTGTTTGTTGTAGGACTGCTAGTGATGTCTGTCAAACATCCATCATCCAAATCAATTAAGGTAATAGCATTGTAATCTCTCAAGTATGCTTTTTCTACGTTTTCCTCTGAAGAATATACATTTTCAAGACAGGGAAGTATTCAATCTTTTGATTCACACATTCCATTGAACTACTTTCACGCGTGTTTTTGCATTGATTTTGCTGTCTCCTCCGCCTCGCTGCTATTTGTCAGAGCATGATTCTCCAAATGGCGTTCACGCCAGAGCATGATTCTTCAAATGGCGTTACGTCAGATCATGATTCTCTCTTTAACAGGGTGAAGATCCTTAAACAGGTTGCTCTCGTAAGCTAGAGATAGATAGTTTTCTCTAGACTTCTTTATCAGCCCTTCTTCTTGCAAATTGGATTTGACGTATCAAATCTTTGGACTTTGTCCCAGCCCAATTCTGAATCGTCAATGCTGGGCCATGCTGGTGCAGTATTCAACTTTAATGAAAGCGTTTTCTGCAATTTCGAAGAGTGCCACCAGATAACTCTTCTCGCTTTTTTTAAAAGTTTTCATCAATTAACCACATTCTTGGATCTAGTTTTTATTTCTGGTATTTCATAGGAGGAAATTGCCTTAAAGTAGAAGGGCCAGTAGCTATTTTCGTACATTTACCTATGCTTTTCGATTCGTTGTCTTTCTTCCAAATATTTATTCTCGAATCTTTAGGATATGGAGCGTGCCTTTATCGATGTATCAGGCATGGTTTTGTATGACCAGGAAGGCGAAAGTATGTGTTCTTTTTGGTACTGTTTAATTTCAATTTTACCTTGGCCTTTGAAGGCTTCATCATAAAAAACGTATTATTGTTCTAGAACTTTTCAACCTTATTTCTCAGGGAGTTGATTGAGATCCCAATAATTTTGAATGTAGTAATACTCTTGATTAAAAAATCTGGAGTTTTTTAAATACCTTTGTAAATAAATTGTTAAGGAACAAATGCATCAACTGAACTGAATTTCAAGATGTTCCACAAAAAGTTATCTGAAGACATTTTCATTCCATTTTTCCCACCTTTTTTGAGTTTTCCAGTGCACTAAAATTTATCAAAGAGAAACACGGAGAGATTTGTCCCATTCTAAAGTAATGAAAAAAGTTCTGTGTTGTAAAATATATCATTGTTTAGGTTTCCAGAGGTGCAGCTGCAGAAAGTTTTGAGTCACCATGCCTCAATTATTCCTAAGATTCTAGGACAATCGAGCTAAATTAGAAGGCAGATATATTTTAGTTTATACAATTATATCATCTCTATACAATTATATTTTGATTTTGGTGTTCTTGAGAGTTTTAACACTTTCAATGTAGTTGGAAACTTCCACAAAATTTATGCAAAGCTTTAGCCTTGGCCCCTCTCTGAGTTACTTTGCTACATTTTTGAATTGTGACAATAAAAATGAAGAATGCTCCCGCCATATTTATTATTTCTCAAAGTAGATTATACATGTCCTAATTTCTAGATTTAGAGGTATGTAATATTAATTGTTCATTTCTAGATGGTGAAATGTGCACACGAGCCGTTGTTGTCATTCAAGTTGATTTACAAAGTGCTTTGCAGAATATGTTACGAGGGGCTTTCAAATCAGGTAAGAGCTCTCATTTAGATGTGTCTTTCGGATATTATCGGTCTCTTTTCAAGCATTTCAATATATATATACCATCCTTAATAAACAGCTAGATTTGTAAACATAGAGCTGCAATTATTTAAAGCATGGCTTTTAAACGGCTGTTGAGTTTCGATCGAAAATAGTAGTTTGGATTAATAAAGACTAAAGGTGACGTTCAGGTGTAAGGTTATGTTTTAGGCCCATGATGGTCCGTGTTTTGTATAGCAGTTAAAAGTTAGATGTGGGATGACAAAGTTGTGTAGATTCCTTTCAGATTGTTGGTTTTCTACTTCAAATGAAATTATGCTATACTAAAAATGCGATTGTCCTTTTGTATTAGGACTGTTTATTATACTCTCAAAAAAATTAGCATGTTAGTCGCAACCTTTGAGCCTCATTTTCTTTCAGGGTTGTTGAAACGAGGCATACGAAATGGATTCAGTTACTTTTCCAGTTGTCTCAATGCATACAAAGAAATGCTGATGATCTAGGTATATATAATTGTTGAGAATCCCATGACTATTCAACTGATTTTACACATGATTTTTTAGCAGACTTGAGTTTCTACTCCTTTATATGGATAAGAGATTTTCTAAAAAGTATTACTCTTTTGAAATATTGAACTAGTTTCATTGAACGTCTTAAGATTAACATATGTTCAGTTTAAATTATGTACTAAAATTCTATGTAAACTAAGTGTAGTTAGCCTCATGCAATGAAAGGAATTGATTTAGCCGGTTTTGTTAAAAGAAATGGTATCAACTTTCATAACTTTAGTATAGGGAAAAGCATAAATTTGGTTCTGAGCTAGTTTTGAAAAGGGGTACAGTAAGAATTTAATCGAAATTTGTAAAGGTTTTTAAAAGAGCTGCCTTTTTCGTTAAAGGTCCATATTTTTTGCCTGTATAAGAATCCTGCCGTACGCTCTTTCCCTGAATTCCTAGCAAACTATAGATTTCGTATTAGTTTGCAGTTAATAGAGCGCACGTTGCAAGGCAAGTATCCATTTTATTGTTTACACGGGTATTTTGCTTCGATAACACTGCTAGTAAATTTTCATTTGCTCGAAAGAGATGTAGTTATGAACAGTAACGTTGATAGAGAAACTGCGCCCATTGAATGGGTAAAGAAGACAAGCAGTGACAATACACTGTACATGACTATGGCCATGCAGTTTCATTTGTTAAGCGATGTGATGTTTTTCATGGTTGAAAGTCTAGATAGAAAGGTATATCAATACTAGTAACTAAATGATTTGCAATGCATTATTGAGTGAATTAGACAATACAAATGCGGTATCGTTGTCGTATCTATTAAAAATCGATGCTATGGACAAAAACCACGCTTAGAGCTGCGATTTCTAATAACTGGTCTCCTTAAGATAATTTGTACCGATTGTTGAACATGCTATTTCGCAACTGTGCAACACCTGTGAGGAGCTGATTCAAAATGCAAAGCTGGATGGGTCTATTGTGTAGAAAATAACCATGACCTGTGCTCGTATGATTTTGAGATGTTGATTTAAAGCCAGATCTCAACTGTCCAGCTATTTGTTGCAATATTCGGCTGTTTTTCGCAAAGCAGCTTCCATTTTCTTAATGATAAGTGTTGAATAAAGTCGTATTGTAGTTCTGTGCTTAAAAACAAGTTTAAATAAAGCTTTTTATATCAGTAATCATTCTGGTATCTCAACCCCTAAGATGAACATCATCACATATATTTCAAAATGTTTACTATTGTAAAATTAGGTCTTTCGTCTTGTAATTAAAAAGTTTCTTTGTGTATTACTATTTTGACGAGACACTGATGCTTTCATTTCAAACAACTTTGGTCAACAATTGTCTAAGTAATAGAGAAGAACTTATTTCAAATAGAATTGTGTCGACTTCATTAAAGGGCTTCAGAGTGTGTTTAGGAATACACACTGGTGCCATATACGTTTATTTTTCACAGATTGAGACAGTCAGCATTGGAAAAATATTAGGCAAACGTCTGTCTTTTCAGCTGAAGTAAATTTTAACGCTACTCGTGATCCATCTTGCTTTTTTATATATTTCTGCATAAAATCAAATTTCCACATGGACGCTGCTTGTTAAACAAATTGTGTTCAGACTACCATGTTACCGAAACACTTCGCCTTGTGTAATCCTTTGGGGGTATTTGCAGCTCATCCTTTGTTCCTGTTTCACAATCAGATGCCTCCCGCATCCATGTCCCAAATAACTCCTTCGGAATTTTCTTATCGCTGTATTTTGGAACAGTAAGAAAGTCATTAGTTTGCGACCGTTCCTTTCCCCCACTCACGTTGTGACCTTTCGGTGTATAAACGCTATTAATTCTACGAATGATATTTTTATCCTTGGGTATACGCCTGCAACATAGGGTAGCCTCGTTAATAGTCTTCTTCGAATCCTCCATTGCCTTTTGCAATCGAGGCAGAGATATGACTTGGCCTTCCCGTTTAGCTGGGGTCTTTGGGGGACGTGAATTGCTGCGCTCTTCGCTTTTCTTCGTGACTTTACACATTTGCTGCCAGGGAAGTCTTGATCTTTGTGTAGTTGTCCGACTAAGGATGACTTGGGGTAGTCCTGTTCTTATGAGTTCCTCGTTGTTATTGAAACTACCAGAACATTTTCTTGTCTTCTCGCGTTCGATAACCAGCTGTCTCTCCATCCTGTCAATAGATGTTTTTAGTTTTAACTTGGCCTCCTCTAAATGCTGAAAGTTTTGCTCAAGTTTCCACGCCTCGTGTATATTTTTGCGTACAAGTCCGTAAGATTTGATATGTTCAGTGCTCAGATCGCAATCTTTTGCACCTTCTCTCAGGTTTGACGGTGCTAAATGTTTCCCCTCCATCGACTCGATTCAATATCTCAGTAGAAACAAACAACAACCAGCTTCTTTCCAAGCAACTAATTTGTTTGTTAGGTCGATTTTCAAAGAACCACTTTTTCAATTTTATTAATGCTTTTTAAGCTTGATGTTTTGAACGACTTTCGTTACAAATCTTTGAATGGTAAGCAAAATCTCTCCAGCTGCAGGGTCTCATCAAGATCCTGAATCTCAACAAATTCAAAACAACCTTCGAATTAGTGGTTTGTTTGAGACCAATTCTGATTACATTGCAATAACGTGCAATATTTTGCGATTATAAAGATAGCTTAAATGCCTGATTTCCAGCTGCTATTTACCAGTAAGAGCTTTTATTTTTTACACAACAAAGGCATTTCAAACGTCAGCAACGAACTGTAAAGCTTTTCTTGCCTTCCACGACAACCTGTTTTCGCGCCTGATTAGTAGCCGTTATAAACGTGTGTCCTTCTATGACGTCATTCTAAGATGAGAAAAACGTTTCATGGAATATACCAATTCAACTTACGGCTTTATTTTAAAAAATTCTTCAAATTCTTTTGTACAAAATTTTTACCTCAGATTCGGATTGAGAGCAAGGTTTTCAGTCTACTTGGAAGTTTTCATTATGTTATTGCTCACGATATTGATTTTATGACGACATAAAGATAAAAAATTTTATAATGGATTTGACCATGATTGGCGACTGTGGTGAGGGGGGTAAAGTTTCAACCGGAATTATTTTTGGGGTCAGATCCCTTATAAGTTTATTTCTACGTAAAATCTAAAATACAACCACAAATAATATTGCAAATTGTATCCAGCTTGAAATTATGGTGATAAAACCAAATTTGAGCTAAAAATAATCGTATCGTGAAGTTTGGAGAAATGTCCAAAACGAGATCGTTAGTTAAATTGGTGTATTGATCATGTTTTATACGGTAAAGTTCATGAAGTCCTATTCTAAATGCTTTTCTCTAATTGTTATGCGCATACATTATGCAACATTAGTATAATTGCAATGAGAAGAATGGTGTGTTCATCGAGTCGTCTCTCACGCAGGTTACTTGACTTTTATTAGCCAAATAACAACCTGAATATTACTCTATTATTTGGAGGTATTCAGCTTCCTGATTTTACCCTCACGACACACATTGCTAATTGAACATTACCAGTGTTTACGTTTACTAATTGAACACTACGGTTACCAGTGTATGTATAAACATATACAAACCTCCACAAAATAGCATTTTAAATATCCAATCACTGTTGCCTATATTCTGTCTATCTCACAAATGACTGTCCTACCTACAAGTCACAAACATTGATTTGCGGCAAAATAAGCTTGTCTTTTCATTATGTTTTGCGATATTGTCGGCAAACCTTAAGGAACTTCGCAGTCACAGTTCTGACGCTCTCGTTGGTAATAAGATAATCATATATACAGAGAAGGATTAAATTGCTCGATTTCTATTGCGAGCACCAACACGTCTTTTTTCTGTTTGAAGTCTTTCACTGGCCGCCTCGTTCTCATGAGATGACTGAGCCAGATAGTATGTAATCGCGAGATAATGAATTTGCTCTACGAAGTATGCATTAAAGAAAAAGATTTTTTTTCGTAGGAAGTCAAATTCAGAAGGGAATTTCTCGTTTCATCTTGTTTACTCAAACAGTATATGTACCTTCAATAGACCTGTATAAGTTGTTTTAGATGGAAAATTAGTAAACCTAATTACGATACAATCCATGTTACAAAATCTTGCAAGGTATGCCTTGTTAGTTATGTTTGCTTAACGAAGAAAAATCACAAAACTATGATGTCGTTGGAAGGAAATGGAGGAAGTAAGTTTTAGTCTAATGGCTATCAAGCTTATTCTACGTCAAGCTATGGTTGCCATGGCAACTGTTCTATCGCCAGCGTCCTTTTTCGAATGAAAAGCGTTTCTTTGCAGTAATGTGTCTGCAAAACATTCTGCTGAAATATAGCAAAAGTAGCAACTTACAATATTTCCAAATTTGGCTTTTGAATGGTTTTAAATTCAAATGTAATTCATTTTACAAAAAAAATCAAACTTGCGAGATCGAAAATAAAACAGTACGATCGATGATTAGAATCCCACGAATTGAGGCCTGGTAACTAGACAGTTGCCCTGGCAATAAAACTGGATGCTCGGATTAGTTCCATGTTGGGTTTTCTTGTCATTTTGTGGCTCACAACGTCTCCTCGTTGATTCTTGGTATAGGGCTTGGGGAAAGTTTTTGAATGGTCAAAGCAATCTGTACCACCTTTGATATTGGCAAAATCTTTTTAAAGCCCTCAGCAATAGTTTTTGATATATAACCCCCTTCCGCATATAATGAAAAGTTTAAAAATTCGGCTTATTTGCTTAAGAAATGTATGTGCAATTCTGGTATTTTTCAAATGATTCTTTGTATGCTCATTAAATAGACTAAACTATTTTGTTGGCAACCAAAATTTTCACCAATGTTTCAAACTTCCTGCTAAAGAGCCAACAATTTTTTTACCAATTAATTTTAAAATATAAGTACTATAACAATCAAATGCATCTTTGAAATAATAAAAGTTTACCGTTTTGCTGGTCTGTCATACCGTGCTCAGTCGATTATAGGCAGAGCAGCCCAGTTACCTGATGATCGCTTTAAGCATGAAATTCGGAATTGCAACTTGAAACCGTCCTGATCTATGCACCAAAGCTATTTCAAGGCATACTGCTATCCAAACAATCTTTTGGTGGTATAAAATTTGAAAATGGCTTTGAAAAAAGCAAACATTTAGAAAACTAAAGCTTTTCGTCTGACACTCTTCAGAGTTTAAAACGTCAGAACATAGACCGAAAACTCTACGCTAGGAAATATATATACCCAGTTGTGGATCGAAATAGGCCAATCAGAAACAGGAGCACATGACTGTTGAGGTTGACCAATCAGTGCCGCTTGCCTATTGAGAATGTTACCAATGGAGTCCTAAGGTGAAAACGAACTCCTTTTGTCTACACAGTAGCGGTTTTTTCGTGCTTATGTAGATAGATTCCAAAACTGCTAGGTGGAACGACGATCGGGCTTTACCAAAAATCCGAAATATGACGCCATTATAGTTTTTTGCACAATCTGGGTTTTCCAGTAAATGCTGCCTGATAGCAGAATCGAAGGTTTAAGTTGTACTTATAGATCTGCAAGACCGACGTGGCTGTTCTCTTATACTGCTATCCTAATATTGTAACTGCCCTTATGATATTAAATTGCAATTTTCATGCCCCCCCCCCTAACCCGCCGTTTTAATACATGCGTAACCTTTGTGATCTCTCTAATATCTTCCAGCCCCCTATTCAGCATTTATGATTGTTCACTAGAAGTGATATAAATAATTTAATTTTATAAGCATTTTAAAAATATGAATGGATGCACAACATTACTCGTGATTCAGTCATCTTGGGACAAAAAAGGCAACTCGTTCAGTTTGCAATTGAGTATTAGCGTAACACGATATTACATATTCCATCTCTTTCAATGGATGCAATTTTCAAATACCATAGAAGACTATTTGTTGTTGAAGTGACAATTTGATGTCCTAATCTTTCCAACTGAATCCTTATCATTAACATGTATTGTCATTTAAATGAAGGATATAACTGTTTTAAATCTTTAGATCTCTGGACTATAGGTATAAACCAGGGGTGTAGTGCTGTCAAAATAACAAGGGGGCTCTTGCACAAAACGATGCAAAAAATTGTTTTTATTTTTTTGGTATTTTTGGCATTAACAAGGAGGGCTCAGCCTCCCTGAGCCCCTTAGCTCTACACCCCTGGAAACTTATACCCAATTGGCAGAGTCGTGTCGTTCATTTTCAATAATATTTTTCTTTAATGTAAAAACATAATTTTTTTGTTCAATTGATATTGGCAAGGCTGGGTGCATTGATTAAGTTGTACAAATGTTTTATCATGTTTCGTAAGGGTGCAGTTCAAGTTCAAGAAAGACTGTTTTCCATTTACGTTGTTTCTGATCGAGCTCGTGAAGAACTGCGAGATTGCGCGGGATTTGATTCGGTTTCCGTATCTTCCTCTACTGTCTCCATTATACTTATTGACGGACGAGCGGCCCTATATATGTGCGAGCGACTTTTTAGCGGCAACGATAAAAAAAGGGATTTTCTTCTATCCTCGGAATTTATTAATCTCTGTCTTTCGTCTTTTCGTCGCTGTTCATTTGTTAGTTTCACAATTAAGTCTTTATTCTTGAGCTCTTCTAGTTTACTGTCACTTGCTCGTCGGTCTTGTGTGTTTTGGAGTTGTTTTCTAAGCGTCAGGTGTGCCGCAGACTCGCTCAAACGACGAACATTTGCGAGAGACGGTGAATCTGGCGTTTTATTGTATCCTGACTTGCTTTGCTTCGTCGTTTGTAAACCATATTCGGCAGTGCGAGGTATGGAAAGATTTGTATTTGAACCAGTTTCACGTGACTCATCCCCGATCGGTGGTAAGTGAGGAGCAGAATTAGCTCGTTGCCTGGAGTAATTTTGTTTTTTATCTCTGAGTAACAAATTCATAATGTCAGAAACACTTTTTCTTGGGCCAAGCGCAAAAGTTGTCGCAGACGGAAGCTTCGAACGTTTAGCGTCAGCTTTTGTCAGCACAATATTCGGCAGTTGGTATTCCTTGCTTTCTTTGTTCACTGCACCAGAAGTCTTAACAATCCCTTTTGTGGCATCACGTAAGACTTGTTCTGCCTGCTCCGTAAGATGCTGGCATTTTTCCCTCTGTTCCTCAATCTCCTTGATTTTGTCGGACAGTTTTTTAGATTCGCGTAAGTTACTCAAAGCCACATAGTGGGCCAAGTTTGAGTCGTGAATTAATGGCGCGTATTTTATTCCATTTATTCTTGTCTGCTTGTTACGCTGAAGTTTTCTAAGGTGAGACATGACTTGTCGATACACGATGGAATCCTCGTTTGACAACTATAGATCGCTATTTCATAAAACCCCTCTGCCACCTATGTCACTCACAAATCGATTCTGACGATGCAAAACAGCCACCAGTTTTCCATCTCTTTAGCGCTCGATTTTGCTCAATATCTTGATAGTCTAACATGCACTTACTAAGTGAATGCAATATTTCAATTTCGTTCGTCAAATATACGATATTTTAGTTGAAAGGGTCTTCTATATTGAGTGCAGTTAGTTTTCCTTGTGCTCCAAAAGATGTACTGTACAAGTTGACTGTGGAGAATTAAAGAGGCACAATACTACAAGCTTTGATTACATTTGCATACCTAATCACGTAAATCAAGGTTTGAAATACACCTTTGGGTTTTACAGTTAATTTCATGCTTACGTTGAATCGCAAAGTTTGTATAATGTTACGTCCCACCAGGCTACTTATTATATTATCATTGAGGGCACAATCTGAGCTCATTTTGTCTCAATTTCCTGATTATCGTCAGGAGGGGCTGTTTTCGCACCTGGAAACTGGGATTGTACAGCATTCTATGTTCTATTTCGAGACAACAACCTTGGAAACGTCCCCCTATCAACAAAATGCTGCTAGAATATTCACAAAATGATCAAAAGGAATTCTTTGATGTGGAGTGTTCAAGCTTTTCTCTCGTGGCAGTGCTTTCTTAACTTGAGAATGTTATGTAATGAAGACTCGAGATGAAGTCTGTGAGAGTATTAGAAGTACATTCTTGAAGGAAGAAGAAATATTGACAAAAACGTTTGCATCAAAGCGAAGTGACAAATCTGACAGCCTTTTGCAAGGTTCTAATATTGCGTTTGAGGCATTATGGCTAGTTTTGCTCCAATACTGTTTCAAAAATATTTGTGTCGAAATCCCCCTTTTGGTCTCGATGGTAATGCCTCCTAAATTTTTCAAAATTGTGACAATGAAAGCTTCTATTTCTTGTGACAACTATTTACAGCTTACTTCACATGGCTACTACTAACCTGGTGTTGTTGTCCACCCAAATAATCCTCATCTACTCATTATTATCTTTACAATGCCTGCCAAAAGTCTTTTAACACCAACAGCATTTTTGTCATTGACATTAGCAGTTTCCCCTCTCCCATTTCAAACAATGCTGGATTATTCTGCATTGCACTATTCGAACTCAACATTAAATTTTGAAGCGAAAAGAGCCGAGATGCAATTCCGATATTGGGTAAAGGAGGAACTTAGTTTTTTCTAGGGATTTGATAAAAATACTTAAATAAATGGCTGAAACTGCTTGGGTGTTTCAAGCTCTTTTTGGGAGAGCATAATGCCTATGATGACGTCATATCTATCTTCTACTCTAGAAGAAAACACAGCTCTAGAGGAAAAGCTTCTTTCTGCAATTAATAGTGCGGTAGTAATGTCGGGGGGGGGGGCGGGGGCGGTGTGTGTTGTGTGCAGTCCCTAAAAAGCTTCTAGAGATGATATTCTAAATGGTTACCAAAGTCATAATTTACCCTTCCCTCAGCCAAAACATACATGCGTCTCCCCTGATATGAGAAAAATTAAGTCAAATTCTACTTAAACTTGCATGTTGCTCATTAAGTCGACCAAATTCCATTATCTGGTCTGAATTTGCATTTATATTAACTCTCCAAGGAAATGAACATTTTAAAGAAGTTCCGTTTTTTCTCCTTGTTTAGTTTGGATCCTTTATAGAAGTCTTTTTTCAAGCTTTTCTCCATCCACTTTTTATCCCTGACACTCTAAGTAGGTTTTCTTAGAATTTTTTCATATCCTAGAACAGTTGCGTTTTGTCACAGGTCGTTCACTCTTATGGCTCTTACGAAAATTGCAGATGTTTTTTACCATTGTCCTAACTTCCAAATCTACTCCAGCTGTGAATAAACACAAACGCACAGTTTAGATATGCAGATGGGTTGTCTGTAAGAAGCCATTTTCTTGACCTTATCAATTTTCTTAAAGCGGCTCAGAGTTTTCGAAATTTTTCTCTACTTAAAACCGTTTTTTTGCGTAGAATCGTAGAAAGAGCTACTCATCATCTGGTAAAAAGGAATTTCATGGAATAATAGCTGTGCTGTTATTGGAGATAACGATTATTCATGTGTTATAGGTGAATGAACGAAATGCAGTGCTAGGACACTTTGCTAGCTTCCATCTTACGTTCAACTTTGGGCATCTTGATTTCATTCGTTAGCAGAATGTGGTGGCAGGTGATTTAGAAGCAAGTATCGCAAGTTGGATTCAACCGAAAAAGAGCAAAATGGACGACAACAGCATAAAATTGTCCATGAAAAAGTTGTCAGACTTTCGTTCAGCAAGAATTTGGATGAAAGAGGCCCAATTGATCCGGCAAAACATTCGAAATCATTTGATGCTAGATTTCAACACAGGAATGAAATCGGAAACGGGTTTAAAGTACGGTTTCCCCTCATATAGATCTGAGAGATCAGCACAGAAAAGCAGCCATATTATTGTTGACGTTGATTACATGACGCTGCGTGTTCAAGGAACAGGTATAGCTATAGAACGAATAAAAGGTGAAAACTGCTCAAGTGTGGGAAAATGCCAAACGAAAAGTAAAAGCAAATCACTACAAGATGATGCTAAGACACAACAGCATAGGAAGCGTGATACCAGAGCAAAGAATACAGTAATTACCCGGCTGACATATGGGGAAAAGGGCGCAGTTTGTAATCAAAGTCGCAAAATACATCAGCTCACAGAATGTAATGCTAGGGAAGGTAAAACTACGGTTAAAGAAAGTAGGAGAAAGAGAATAGATGGCTGGAAAAGATGCACGAGAAATTGTGCTTCTTTTATCGAAGAAGAAACAAAAGACTCAGAGCTCAACAACGAAGGTATCAGCATAAAAGATGTTGTAGGATCGGATGGAGAGTTGACAAGCAAAGAAAAGATTCTTTATGGCAGAAGTGACGGCAGTAAAGCCAAACGTTTGGTGAAACAGCAGGCAGTGGACTTTGTAGATGATGGAAGGGAAGATGAAACAGCAACAACACAAAGCCTGATTTGTCAGGAAAGATGTCATAACATGCAAGAAAAGCATAATCGCAATGGTTGTCTAAAAGATGCAAGAATTGTT